GGATAGTTTTGGGTCACACACACTAGTGAGACCAGGTAATCAGGCTGAGGAAGGAAGGAGGGTAGGTCACAGGAAACGACTGCGAAGTATGCGAGGAGCTCAACATTAGATTCAAAGAAGTGTTCACAGAGGAGACAGAAGGGACTCCAGAAAGAGAGAGGTGGGGTACATCAAGTGTTGGACACAATATATGCAACCGAGGAAGAAGTGAAGAGGCTGCTAAGCGAGCTAGATACCTCAAAGGCGATGGGGCCGGATAACATCTCTCTATGGGTCCTGAGAGAGGGAGCAGAGTACCTGATGTATGGAAGACAGCAAATATAGTCCCAATTTTTAAAAAAGCATTAAACTACAGACCAGTGTCACTGACACGTATAGTATGTAAAGTCATGGAGAAGATCATCAGGAGAAGAGTGGTGGAGCACCTAGATAGGAATGAGCTTATCAATGACAGCCAGCATAACTTCAGGGACGGGAAATCCTGTGTCACAATCCTACTGGAGTTCTGTGACAGGGTGACAACAGTAAGACAAGAGAGAAAGGTGGGCAGATTGCATTTTCTTGGACTGTAAGAAAGCGTTTGACACAGTTCCACAAGAGATTAGTGCAAAAGCTGGAGGACCAGGCAGGGATAACAGGGAAGGCACTACAATGAATCAGGAAATACCTGTCAGGAAGACAACAGCGAGTCATGTTACGTGACGAGTTGTCACAGTGGGTGCCTGCAACGATCGGGATGCCACAGGGGTCAGCCCTAGGTCCGGTGCTGTTTCGGGTATTTGTGACCATGACGGAACGAATATATTCCGAAGTGTCCCTGTTTGCAGATGATGTGAAATTGATGAGAAGAATTTAATCGGACGGGGACCAAGCAGAGCTACAAAGGGATCTGGACAGGCTGCAGCCCTGGTTCAGCAACTAGAGCTAGGAGTTCAACCCCACCAAGTGCAAAGTCATGAAGATTGGGGAAGGGCAAAGAAGGCCGCAAACGGAGTACAGTCTAGGAGGCCAGAGGCTACAAACCTCACTCAAGTAAAAGGATCATGGGGCGAGTATAACACCCGGCACATCCCGTGAGGCGCACATTAGCAAACCTAAGAACAGCATTCCGATTTCTTGATAAGGAATCGTTCAGGTCCCTGTACACTGTGAACGTTAGGTCCATATTGGAGTATGCAGCACCAGTTTGGAACCCCCCACCTAGCCGAGCATGTAAGGAAATTAAAGTGCAAAGGTTTGCAACAAAACTAGTCCCGAAGCTATGGTGCTAAGAGACTTAAGGAAATCGAGCTGATATCACTGGAAGACAGGAAAGATGACGGGATATGATAATGACATAATATTCCTAGAGGAATCGACAAGGTGGACAGAGACAGGATGTTCCAGAGATGGGACACAGCAACAAGAGGTCACAGTTGAAGTTGAAGACTTAGATGAATCACAGGGATATTAAGATGTATTTCTTCAGTCGCACGGTTGTCAGGAAGTGGAATAGTCTGGGCAGTGTTATAGTGGAGGCAGGATCCATACATAGCTTTAAGCAGAGGTATGATGAAGCTCATGGAGCAGGAAGAGTGACCCAGTAGGGGCCAGTAAAGAGGCTGGGCCAGGAGCTGTGACTCGACAGCTGCAACCACAACTAGGTGAGTACACACTGAAACATACATTGAAACACACACACACACACACACACACACACACACACACACACACACATACACACACACACACACACACACACACACACACACACACAGCCAGAAACTATAACTCGACCCCTACAACCACAACTTGATGAGTGCATCTACCCTTTCATTAGTCTCTCTTCTCATCTGCGATTTTACTTTCCGTCTTACCCTTCGTTCAATAATAACTATCATTCATCTTACCAGTAATGCTCACCAGGTTTACTCCCCTATGTTTTCTACACACTCTTATGTCCCCTTTGGCCTTATACAAAGAAATTGTTCATGCTCTTTGCCAATCCTTAGAGACCTTACCGTCTTTCATACGTTTATTGAATAAAAGCACCAACCATTCGAAAAATATATCCCCACACGCTTTTAACATTTCTGACTTGATCCCTTCAATCCCAATATATATATATATATAATATATATATATATATATATATATATATATATATATATATATATATATATATATATATATATATATATATATATTAGGGAGGTACCATCTATGGAATTGTGATGGGGACCCTCATCCTTAGACAAAAGAATAAACTTGCTTCTGGGAAAACTCAAGGTTCTCCCTGAAGGTGTTGGAATATCGTCTTCTCCTACCACTCCCTCTCTCTCTCTCTCTCATATAATACACACACACATATATATGAGAGTTAGAGGTATTGGGAAGATGGAGGGAATATTTTGAGGAATTGTTAAATGTTGATGAAGATAGGGAAGCTGTGATTTCGTGTATAGGGCATGGAGGAATAACATCTTGTAGGAGTGAGGAAGAGCCAGTTGTGAGTGTGAGGGAAGTTCGTGAGGCAGTAGTTAAAAAGAAAGGGGGTAAGGCAGCTGGGATTGATGGGATAAAGATAGAAATGTTAAAAGCAGGTGGGGATATAGTATTGGAGTGGTTGGTACAATTATTTAATAAATGTATGGAAGAGGGTAAGGTACCTAGGGATTGGCAGAGAGCATGCATAGTTCCTTTGTATAAAGGCAAAGGGGATAAAAGAGAGTGCAAAAATTATAGGGGGATAAGTCTGTTGAGTATACCTGGTAAAGTGTATGGTAGAGTTATAATTGAAAGAATTAAGAGTAAGACGGAAAATAGGATAGCAGATGAACAAGGAGGCTTTAGGAAAGGTAGGGGGTGTGTGGACCAGGTGTTTACAGTGAAACATATAAGTGAACAGTATTTAGATAAGGCTAAAGAGGTCTTTGTGGCATTTATGGATTTGGAAAAGGCGTATGACAGGGTGGATAGGGGGACAATGTGGCAGATGTTGCAAGTGTATGGTGTAGGAGGTAGGTTATTGAAAGCAGTGAAGAGTTTTTACGAGGATAGTGAGGCTCAAGTTAGAGTATGTAGGAAAGAGGGAAATTTTTTCCCAGTAAAAGTAGGCCTTAGACAAGGATGTGTGATGTCACCGTGGTTGTTTAATATATTTATAGATGGGGTTGTAAGAGAAGTAAATGCGAGGGTCTTGGCAAGAGGCGTGGAGTTAATAGATAAAGAATCACACACAAAGTGGGAGTTGTCACAGCTGCTCTTTGCTGATGACACTGTGCTCTTGGGAGATTCTGAAGAGAAGTTGCAGAGATTGGTGGATGAATTTGGTAGGGTGTGCAAAAGAAGAAAATTAAAGGTGAATACAGGAAAGAGTAAGGTTATGAGGATAACAAAAAGATTAGGTGATGAAAGATTGAATATCAGATTGGAGGGAGAGAGTATGGAGGAGGTGAACGTATTCAGATATTTGGGAGTGGACGTGTCAGCAGATGGGTCTATGAAAGATGAGGTGAATCATAGAATTGATGAGGGGAAAAAGAGTGAGTGGTGCACTTAGGAGTCTGTGGAGACAAAGAACTTTGTCCTTGGAGGCAAAGAGGGGAATGTATGAGAGTATAGTTTTAACCAACGCTCTTATATGGGTGTGAAGCATGGGTGATGAATGTTTCAGCGAGGAGAAGGCTGGAGGCAGTGGAGATGTCATGTCTGAGGGCAATGTGTGGTGTGAATATAATGCAGAGAATTCGTAGTTTGGAAGTTAGGAGGAGGTGCGGGATTACCAAAACTGTTGTCCACAGGGCTGAGGAAGGGTTGTTGAGGTGGTTCGGACATGTAGAGAGAATGGAGCGAAACAGAATGACTTCAAGAGTGTATCAGTCTGTAGTGGAAGGAAGGCGGGGTAGGGGTCGGCCTAGGAAAGGTTGGAGGGAGGGGGTAAAGGAGGTTTTGTGTGCAAGGGACTTGGACTTCCAGCAGGCATGCATGAGCGTGTTTGATAGGAGTGAATGGAGACAAATGGTTTTTAATACTTGACGTGCTGTTGGAGTGTGAGCAAAGTAACATTTATGAAGGGATTCAGGGAAACCGGCAGGCCGGACTTGAGTCCTGGAGATGGGAAGTACAGTGCCTGCACTCTGAAGGAGGGGTGTTAATGTTGCAGTTTAAAAACTGTAGTGTAAAGCACCCTTCTGGCAAGACAGTGATGGAGTGAATGATGGTGAAAGCTTTTCTTTTTCGGGCCACCCTGCCTTGGTGGGAATCGGCCAGTGTGATATTAATAAAATAAAATATATATATATATATATATATATAATATATATATATATATAATATATATATAATATATATATATATATATATATATATATATATATATATAAGGGCATTATTACTAACACAGGTAATAAAAGGCCTGCGAGACCTTGCCGTAATGGGAATTGGATCACACAGACTACGCAGATTATAATGTATATTTTACCTTCACCCTCTATATATAGATATATATATACTATGTACAATATATATAGATAAAATGTGTACACCACGGTGACAGATGGCAAAGCAGAAGCCAGAGTACACTGTACTCAACCAGCAGGTAGGCAAGTCTGCCAATGCTTACCGCAAGTGAACCATGGTGCTTCAGCTTTGGTGGGCTTGCCTGTGATTGGTTAATGAACCAAGGTACTGATTTAACGACAGGTGCCCTAGTGATCCTTAAACCCTTGGCACCCGGTTCACTGGTTCGGAGGTAGCCTACATGGGAGTGTGACATACGCCGAATAATTTGTAACATACTCTTTGCATACCACATGCATATATAATTAGAACAGTCCCCATTTGAAAATTTTACAGCAAATAGATTCGGTTTAAATGATGTAACAGCGTGAGAGAAACCCTTATTTACTCGCAAAATATGTTGGAATATGCTGTAATATATACACCCCTATACATTCACTCTGGATATAGTGTTATATTATCAAGACAGGAATTTCAGGTTAAGAAAATGTATATTTCTC